TGTCAAGTTGATTGGATTTAAGTCATAGCTATTGCCTCTCTGACTTCAAATCATAGTTAACTTATTCGACGGAAAGAGTAACGTTAACAACGCCTCACATTACTAAGACCTGACTTATACGAGTACTGGCTATGTGTGGGTTGCAATAATGCCATTGAAACTGCTTTACATATTTGGACTTGTCCAATGTACTCCTCGGAAATAATGAACACAATCTCAGCTATCAAACAAGATCTTGATAACCAACTAAGTTCTTCATACCAAAACAGATATACAACACACTGAATTGAACTAGAGGACATACTCAACACAATTTTTGCACTACCTTCAAATGATTCTAATGGCTATGCCGACATCATCCAATCCAGAATCCCACTTTCATTGACAAATATCGTTTACAAAATAACTGGCAACAAAGAGTGATACCTCTCTATCATTTCACGCTCGCTGCTTCTTTTTCACCAAAAATTATACGATGACGTCTGGAAACACCGTTGTAACTTAGTGATCGCTAAAGAGCATTCATTGGGCATTACTAAATAGGATAAGCGTAAACAAAGTGACAGTTCACCCTTGCCTCGTAGACAGACATCAAGCCTTTCTCTTAACTGGGAGACTTGGATACACTCTGCGAATAAATTTGGCTACGCATTCTCAGATTTTTAGATAGGCACTGACGTCTTCTTTATCTTTTCTTGTTGATATTAATCTTCATTAAGTATGTACTTAGTGGAACTAATGGAGGGGGAAGACGATGATAGGTCGATCCAAACGGGTTTGTAATATAACTACAAGGGATAGCTAGTACTTAGCATAGATTTATTTTTGATTTACTTTATATTTCCTTATTTATAAATTTAATAAAGTTACTGGCAGTGCCACATCGTTAAAAAAAAAAAAAAAAATTATAGAAATTTAATATATATACTAATAATAAATAATAAATTTGTAGGTAATTTTTTCAATGATATTGTCTTTTAAAATATTATTTAAAAAAGAATATAAGAAACATTTAGTTATAACTAATTGTAGAATTATATTTTTATAACTTGTGTATATTATGTTTCAAGTTAATGATTTACCTTAAATGCAAATTTTAATTTTAAGCAATCCAATTTAAATTTCAATTTAAGCAATACAATTTTACTATTCAAATTTAAAATTAAGGCAAATTAAAAATTGAGACATGAGGTATCTTAAATTAATTATTATCTTAATTTAAAGTTAGGACAAATTGAAACTGAAATATAAGATGCTCTAAGTTAACTATTACTCTAAATTAAAATTAAGACAAATTAGAAATTAGGAATATGATATCCTAAATTAACTATTATCCTAATTTAAATTAAAACAAATTAGAAATTAAGAGTATGATATCCTATGCTTCAATTTAAAATTGGAACAAATTAGAAACTATAAATGCAATATCCTAAGTTAACTATTATTCTAATTTAAAATTAAGGTAAATTAAAAATTAAGAACATAATACCCTAAGTTAACTATTACTCTAATTTCAAAATAAGTTAAATTGAAAATTAGAAACATGATGCCTTAAGTTAACTATTACTTTAATTTTAAATTTAAGCAAATTTAAAACTAAAAATACAGTATCTCAAATTGATTAATTTAAAATTAGAATAAATTTAAAATTAAGAAAGTAATAGACAAATTAATTATCTTAATTTAAAATAGAATAAATTAAAACTAAGAATACAATAGTTATTACTAAAATTTAAAATTGAGATAAAATGTAATGTTTTAAATTATAATATTTTTTGCTTTATAAATTATTATCATTATTTAAATTTACTAAATAATTAAAATAATATTTTATACAAATTTGTCTAGAAAGTAATTTTTTGTTATTTAATATTTAATTAAAATATAAAAGCTATTTTTAAAATTTAATTATAATTTATTAATTTTCCATAATAATGAAATAAATGATAAATTTTACTTTAAATAAAAAAAAGATTTAGGGTGTAAAAAAATTAAATTTAGTAAAAGTATCATATTATTAAATAAAAAAAGCTATAATTGATCATTAAGGCATATGATTTATTATAACTAAATTTAGATATTAAATTTAATATAGTTTATAATTTAAATTTAAATTACCTGAAATTGAAATTTCATTTCTGGGTAAAATGAATCTACCCTAATTTAAAGTTAGAGCAGATCGTAACTTAGAGTATAACATGTATATATTATTACTTATTATATATATTTGATGAGTATAATATATTTTATACTTATGCTTATAATGAATGTCAAGAAAAATTTCAGTTTTTAAGTCAATTCATACTATAAAAAAATTCAAGAATTTATATTCTTATATATCAAATAAGAAAGACTTATTTGAATTTATAATTCAATATAACCATTTTAAATTTAAATAAATATAAAGTAATATTAGTTATAATTACTAAAATTAAAATATTATTTAAAACTGCATATGAAATTAAATAAAAATTTTTTAAAAGAAGAACTGAATAAAATATATAGTATTATTATATATTAAATCTAAAAATAATTTTAAAATTAATATACAAGCCATTAATTATTAATCTTTAGATAGTCATTAATATATATAATTATACTTTATAATAGAAAATTTAGAAATTAAACTAAAATATATTAATATAATCTTTAATAATAGGCTATATTTTTCAATTTAATACTTATAATTATTATAAAAATGGTATAGTGATATAGAATTTAAATAAAAAAATGAAATGATGAAGAATAACTATTATACATTTGTATTATATTTAAGTTTATAATAAAATTTTTTTAAAAAATTTGTAAATATAACTATTAATAAAATAATATATTTATATTAGTTAAGAAATTGAGATGATAATAATATTATTTTAACTATAATGAATACTACTAGCACTTTATTTATTTATATAGAACTAAATTATATTAAAGGTAAGAACTAAGTTCTAAATTAACTAAAATAAAAAAATATAATAATTAGTAATAAATAAATAATTTATTAATAGAAAATAAAAAAGAAAAAGTTAAAATTATAATTATATTTAATATATTTAATAGTTTGAGTAAATCTAGCTGATTAAAAGTGAAAATACTAAATATATAAAAGCAAGAGTCATATTAAATATTAGAAATTGGATATTATTTTCTTCTGCTCAGATTCAAAATTTTATAAAAGATGAAATTAATCAGCTATTATTAAAATCTTTATAAAAATATTTGTTTAATATATATTAGGTAAAGTAATATATTCATTGAATATGTTGAATTATTTATACTAAATATTATTAATAGTAATACTTGTTAAACCTAATTTTTTTTAAAAATTAGTTTTTTATTGATAATATAATTATTAGACTATAAAAGACTATTACATCTATTATAATTTTTTATATCTGTTATTATATATAGCATTTACCTTTTTATTCACATAGTTATATATCTCTAATATTATATTAACATATTAGAAATTTATTCAAAATGATTACTATTATAAAAACTAACAAATAAGTTACAAAATTAAGGAATTAATTATGAAAATTAGAATAAGAGACAGAAGTTAGTAAAAATATTAGATAAAGTAACTTTAGAAAATGAAGATAATTATATATTTTTATAATATTTCGATCTATAATAAATTTCTAGATTTTTTAGGATTACATCTGAGAAATCAGTATATCTCAAATAAAGAATATAACATAAATTAAATTGGATATATTTTTGATTCAAATAGATATATAAAACTAAATATTTATATATTATAGACTTTTAAATGAGACTGAATTCCTATTAGTGAGTGGTTGAACAAAAAAAAAGTTTAAAAGTATGGAAAAAAGAATGGTAAAAAATGCATTAAAAAGGATTTGTATTATTTTAGAAGAATGTTTTTTGGTCAAAATATTTATAAGAATCATTGGATGATTGCTCAAAAATTTATTGAATTTAACTTACAAGAAAAGAAAAAGAAAATGTGAATATACTACAAATTAAACTTTATAATTTATGAGAATATTATTGAAAAAAACCAAATGAACTATTATGCAATCATTATGTTAAACTAATGGTCAAATTTGGATGGATAACATTATACTATGGGAGTATTTTATATCTGGTGGAGTTGATAATATATACCAAATTATGGACATATAAATGGTGATATATATTATCAAATTATTAAGGAAAACCTATTAGAAACCATCAAATGGCATATAATGGATAAGAAAAATATTATTTTTCAACAGGATAATGATCCTAAACATATAGCACATCTCATAAAGTAATAATTTGAAGATAATAAGGTTAAAGTTCTTGATTGGCCAGCACAGTCTCTGACTTATATCCAATAGAACATCTTTGGAATGAAATGGATTATTGTCTGAGATGGCTTGAAACACCTGTTAGAACAGGATCAAATATGGGTGCAATTCAAAAGATTTGGGTTGAATTGGGATCCATTGTATGTAAAAATTGGTTGATACTATTCCTACTCGTATAAATGATGTAATTAGAGCTAAAAATTGTTTTATTATAATTGAAATAATAAAAAATTTTTTTATTTACATAAAATATTTTAATAAATTCAATAGCATCGCTTAAAAAAATTTTTTTATCACTGCGCAACGATTTTTTATACCACTAAATTGGTTTATTATGATAAGTCATATAAATAAAGTTATGTAACACTGCGCCCCCTTAATCGCAATTTTAAGATTTGTGATATTTTTAAGCGCCACTGTAATACTAAAAAATGGTGTGTTTAAATGATTGTCAAAAATTACGTCACCTTTGCCTAAAATAGTAAAATTACACGGAAAAATTCGGTCATCATAAAAATTGAATGACAAAAAACAAAAACGAAAATTGTTCACGATGCGAAATAATGCATTTTCGAGTAAATTTTCGAATAAAGGAAAAGATTTTGCCAAAAGGGATTCTGCCAATTAGTATTATGAAAAGTTTAATTGATTTGTTCAGTTACTGAGAGATTAGAGTTCGCGCTTTCACTTATTTGATCGGTATCGGTATGAAACCTTCTTTGTACATATTTCTTAACAGAATTTTGTGATTTTTGATCCCTATTAATTTGATAACGTCTTTGTAATTCTGTTTTCTCATCCTCAGATAGCTGTTTCCACTTTTCCGATACCAATTTGCTGAACCTGACCATTGTCATATTGTATGGTTTATCTCTCATCATTTCTTTACGATATAAGATAAACATATTCGGTTCTCGTTTTCTAATCTTCTTTTCTGAACCTTTTGATGTTTCAGGTTCAAAAAAATGGAAACTTATTCTATTATTGCCCATGATTTAAGACTATATCAATTTGGTGGGAACTTGATAAAAATTGAGGGACTTACACATCTTATATTTATTAGAATAAACTGGAGAATATGACTTTATAGTCCGAACTTACGATATTCAAAGTATCATGCGATTGTATCATGCGATTTTGTTTTTCATCAATAAAATCAATTTAGTTATTGTTGTAAATTTTAATTGATTTTTCCGTTCTGTCATTCATAGAAACAAGTCAAGTCATACGCTGCGTTCAAATGATGTTAGTCAGCATTAGAGACCTGCATAAGTCAAAATTTTGAAGCCCGGCCCGGCTTGGACATTGTGCATGGCGTCATTTATTTCAGTAAGAGGACGTAAAATATTATCAGAAAAAATCAGCCCATTAGGCAATCATATAAGCGTATTCATACAGATGGCAAATTACTGATCAGCTGATTGGAAGACAAGTAGGAGCTAAAAATTGTAAAATCAGGTGTCGTGTCAATAAGAATGTAATGAGTTTAAAGTGGGTCGATTTCGAGAAAATAATTCCTCCATCCTTACCAAAGTCAAGAAAATCTCCCATCCAATACATATCTTTGCCAAATGAGATTCTCGAAAGAATTTTCCAATATCATAGTAAGAGTAGGGATGAGAAAATGTATATGTTAATAAGCAGTGGTATTATACAGCTAGACGATTATTATGGCAAAGAATAACACTAAAGGATATCTCTGGAATCAAGTTCACTAAAGCATCGAGTAAAAAATCGATGTGCACAAGTATTACCCTGAATTTTGTAAATGTGTCAAATTTACAACAGCTAATATTTGAAAATTGTGGATCACGTATACTTAACAATAAAAATCTAGAAGCGCTTTTAGACGTGTTCAAAATTAAATCACTCTCAACAATAGGTTCTGATCGCATAGAACAAAAAAAAAAAATCCTTAAACTATGTCCTACCCTAGAATTATGTCATGTTTACGGCTTAGAGAGAATATATTTAGAGGTTGGAACCGGTCTTATTTTCACAAACCGGTTTTAATCACTTTTTTAATTTGAGACCCGGATTTAAACCGAATTTAAATAAAACCGATTAAACCGAGCATTCGGTTGTAATAAACCCGAAAAACTGAATTGCGATAAGACTTATAATATTAACAAAATTTTTTTTTTTTGATTTTTATTTAATTTTATTAAAAATAAATATTAAATTTATTCATCGCGGGGGCGATACTCCTTATACATCGCCTTTATATTTATTTATACCTTACCCTGACCCTAACACTAACCCTAACCTAACTCTAAGCCATGTGACACTTACAATGTGACAAATAGGGGTTCACACATGAAAAAAATTCTCAGTCCCCATGAAAAATGAAAAAGAGAGGGGGTGTGACACGGGTGACAAAAAGGAGGCGATGATATCGCGCCTGCGATGAATAAATTTACTCTAAGCTACTTGCATGTTTAAAATGATAGATAAAAATTAAAAATTGAAAATTGATTCACCAAAACCAGAGATAATTGAGTGCTTTTTGCTGAAATACTTATAATAAGTTATGTCTGAAAACAATGTTTCGCTAAATACTGAAGTTGCACGAATGGATAGATATATTTTTGCAAGTTGAGATAAAATATATAAGCTTGCTTTTGTTTACATCCCACTTTAAAGGATGTAATATCAATTTGCTGAAGGTTTAGATATTCAAATGAAAAATTCATTAGAATCGCACAAAACAAATAATATAATTATAATATAACGAAGGATAGCGTCAAAAAATGCACAAATTTAAAATTTTAAATTTTATTAATAAAAAAAAAATTTAATCTTTGATCTCATCCTTTATTTTTGAATAAAATTTCTAATATATAGAATAAATCATAATTCTGGTCAAAATAAAAAGATAAATTAACGGTTTATTAACAGTTATATATTTAATTCGGTGTTAACCCGAATTAAAACCGAAAACAGGTTAACCAAACAACGATTAAATATAACTAAGGCCAGTCCTGAGAAAGATTTATACAACTATTTACTTTATACGATTCTTTGTGTAGTTGGTTATTAGTCAGTCTATATGGAGACACGATAAAGTTTGAAAGTGAAACTTAGAATTTTATTAACTCAAGATTTCGGACGTCTCTTCTCAAGACTCGTCAACCTCTTCCTTTTTTTGAACAAAGCGGATTTCTGGGTTTATATACAGAATTTATAAATATTAATCCAAAATAAATAAAATAAATATATCAAACATAACGAATATATCAAAAAATAACAATTATAAGAAATTTAATAAATATATATAATAAAGCAAATATAAAAACGAAAATTAGTATAATTATTTTAACGCATATAATTGATATAAATGACATTATCGATATTTTCAATTTTTTTAATATTCACGCAGCTACTGCGCCATTCGTGAACCGGTAAACTTCCGGTTTCATTAAATTCGAATTTTCGCAATCAACCGGGTTTATTAAACCCGGTTTTTATATCTGACAAAACCAGACCCGGTTTTATGTTGCAACCGGTTTAAACCGAATTTAAATCGAATTATACCAAACCGGTTCCAACCTCTAAATATAGTAACTGAAATTTAAAAATTACATCCAAAATTAAAGCTTACATTTGTCGAAAGTCAGACGGATTCAGAATTCGCATAGCAAGCAAGATTACGTGAAATTTATTTTTTTATCTGATTGAAATTTTTCCTGGAACAAGCCGACCATGAACGAATAAAATTCTTTTTGTTCTTGTCTCACATACGCTAGTTTGCACTAATAACATTTCGCAAAAATACTATATAAGCCGTTATGTCTATCACTTTACTCTGCCTCGTCAAAGGAAATATACTTGCAGATGCTTTCCCTGTCCATATTGAAAGAAACGACCTCAAAATCATTATTAAGGAGTAGAAAGACATCAAAGCAAAGGACTTAAAAATTATGGAAGAAGGAAATCCCTGATGATCATGACGATCTCTTAAGCAATCTCTCAATCCAGAACGAACCTGAACTCCATGCAACAAGAGAAATAGAAGACTACTGGACCGAGAAACCACCTAAGAGGAATATCCATATCTTAATCGAACCGCCCATTGTCAACCGTCACTTTAAGCCAAGAGGTATTTGAAATAAGGGAACAACTCGCTTCGTTCCAGGCATTGCTTTACAAATTTGTCTATGATACGTATCTTTTTTACTTGCCTTTATTAAGTAAAGAATTTTAAGGTTATGAAAAATTTATTCAGCATTTAATACAGATTTCGATGTCGTTCATCCGAAATTGAAGCCAAATAAGTGGACTGCAAATATCGAACATGCGACTCTCGAAGGCCTCAAAGATTATATACTGTACGTAAGATATAACCACCCGCACTTGAAAATGATGGTGTATAACTCAACTTCATGGATGATGGAGACATATATTCGCCCCATAACGATCAAGACCTTCGTGAAATCCTGTATTTTATGTGTTCGCAGGATAATGAGGGAATCCGTCGTTTAAGCTATCTGAACAAGTGACCGTTGTGTATAAAGATGAGAATTTGCAAGCTAAGGTGGAAATGTTTCTCTGAAATATTGTATAGTTATTGGATGTGGCACAAAGGCCGGTGGAAGCTTCTCAAAGGGTAAGGTCAACGGGCATTCTTGCGGGAAAATCGAAAGAGAATTTAAGGCTTCGCATTAGAAAATTTGTCATTTAACACGGGCTATGTGTATTTCTGTGTAATAAAGCAATGAAAATAAATTTCTCTAATTAAGCTATATTTCGATTATTGTAATTAAATTTTATCTCCAAGTTGTTACAAAACAAATTTACTACAATTATGTAATATTTCATCAAGAAGCTAGTGTTCTATACACCCCAAGGAAATACGTGGAAATTTCTTTATTCGTTTGCATAAATCATTATCGCCAATATATTTTTTCTTATTATCACGATCTTCAACTATAGTATTTGCAATTTTCTCTTCCACCCTATATATAGCTCGTAATTCACAAATCTTGCCGTTGTTGGTCGCAAATCGTACTGCGCCTCAAACGATCTTCAACTGCGCCGAAAATCATGAAAGTGATGCATGTTAAATATGTAATACATGTATCGTTTGATCGACTTTATAATACATGTATCGAATAGTTTACTTTTTATTATAAATACTAGTTTTAATTATATACTTATCAAAAAGCATAGTATAGTGTTAGTTATCAATTTTATATAAATAGACCTGTAAGTTGACCTTGAGTCGACAGAGTTTTGCTCAGAGATTGAGATAAGTCTTGGGACTAGACTTATAAACTCTTCAAGTTAATAAAGCTACTATTTTACGCTTTCAACCTTCTTCTTGTCTTCATCATAGGATTGATCGTGAAAACCTACTACACAATTGAATCGTGATAAAATCGTTTTTGTTTGTTAATCGTTTATTTCTCTTAGGAAAAACCTTTGAGATAATAGTGATAATAAGTTTAATAGTTTTGTTAACTTGGTTTGAGACGATTCCAGGTCTAACACCGTATTAATAGGAACTTTATGTTGAGCTAAAAAAAGAGTGAATTTTTCAGTAAGAAAAAAAAAATAATGAATTCTTCAAGAATATATAACCTACCTGTGAAAAATTGAGCACGTGAAGAATATATTTTACCATAAAAATCATTAAAATTATCTTTGTCAACAATATCAGAATTTCATACTCCTCTTTGATCAAACTATCATCAATTTTTTCAGGGTTCGCTGAATCTTGCTCTCGCCATTTCATTTGAAATGACAAAAACATAAATTATCTGAATAACGTGCTCCTTTTAACAGTTCATTTAACTCTATTTGTTTGTGTCCAAGTGCTGAAAATAAACAATAGCGTAAGGCCCAAAACTTAACATTAAAAATTTCCAATCTTGCCAATAAAGTTGTTCATCTGGATCAATCAGCACATGCCAGAATTTATTAATTGATCTATTATCAGCATATTTTATCAGTAATCGTGCCCCTAGATAGGGATACGTATATAAAAAAAGCCATCATTTCTTCTATCAGTTGGTTGAAGTGTTAAATTCCATTAGACTTTAATATTTTGTATGTGATAGGCTGATTTTTTTCACCCTTGCCAGGATAATCGTTTGCACGAACAAGTCTTTCTAAAATTGCATTTGCGAGCACTGGAATGATCATTTTAGCACAACTTTCAAATGCATATCATTCATTTAATTCTGATTCGAGTACATAATGTCCACTAAATCAATGCCTTTCAATTCGCGGGTTCTGGATGCTTTCGAAATTTTTTCATAAAATATTTCTAAAGCGCGCACCTGACCACCTACATCAGAAATCATACGTTTGAAAGATTATCTTTATAAACAAAGTCTTGGTCAAGCCAAGATCACACGCTTTTTAACATATTGTCTATGTCTAGAAAATGCAATGGTAACTGAAGAGGTGGATGCATTGATTTTTTAATAATTGACTGAAGTGGACCTTCTCTTGTACCCGCTAAGACTGGAACAAAAAACATTTCTGAATCACAACTCGCTATGCCAATAGCGGATACGAGATCACGAAATTTATCGTAATCTTTATCAAATTGACTTCATCAATGCCGACAATAATTGCAAGCTTATTAATATTTTTGTCTCCTTCATGCTTATTTTTGAAAATGGTTCTTAAAACAAGAGCCAATGTTAATTTCTTTGCATTTTCTTGCCCAATTATCTCGTCTCTAAACTTGGTAAAGCTCAAATTTATATTTCCATGTACAGTACAAATAGCTGAATAAGATCCTCAAAGCTAATTAAGCTTCTACTCCAATATTAATGTCAAAATCCTTTACCCCTGTTCCATTTCCATAAGTAACGTTCAGAAAAACTGCATTTCCTAACAAAGATGCAATATCTTCATCTCTAGAATTTAAAGCCTTATCGCGAATAATATTAACAAGTTCCTGCAAAAACCGACTTTTTCCTGTGCCGGGACCACAGGCTAGGAATGAATTGGATGAATGTTGCGATCATGTTTTGGACGGTCAGAGCAAAAGTTCTTAAATCGATTCAGAACCCCATTACTTTGTTCTGTGCTAAATCCATTCCAATGAGTTTCTATAGTGTCATTACGACCACACAAAGTGAATCGAACACCAAACGTTTCAACCAACATTACCGGTCTCTCGCCCAGAATATACCACTTTGGATCCGATTTCGTGTTAATCAATATGCTTTAAAAATCGATTTGTAGCACTAGCATTACAGTCGTAGTATGGCTTTTTTTCTCGCAAGTACAGGTCTGTAACCTCTAGAGAAATTCGTTGTTCCAGATTTGTGATATGATCATACTTGCCGATTCCAAGATCATGCTGTGTTTACAAAATCATATAAAAGGAGGTAAGTTTTTACCAGTTGATGCTTTTCTTAAATCAAACGAATGATAACTAAAATCATATATCTAATCGAACGAGAATAAATCTGCAAACAAAAAATATAAGGTATGTTGAGGATACCTGGTTGTACCACTTCGATTTTCTATCACATTGAAAGTTGTCTCATCGACAAGTTGCTTTTCTTGATATTCGTCGAGATATTAACCGTGCACATGCCTTGTGGGGGGTAGTAAAATTCACCTGATTTTCGCAATAATGTGTCTTGATGTTATAATCAAGAAATTCGATAATTGCAATTACTTACTTATTGTCCATTGGACTCTAAAAATATTCTCGAGACGGAATGAACATGAAGTGTAAAGGTAAATGTGCATTTTGATTTTTGTTAATGTTATCTAATTCTACGATAATTTTTCCGAAATTTTGCAATTTGTTTGGCATTACCAACTCAACCAAAACTTTTAGGTCAATATTTGACTCTTAAGGAACTACGGAGGGAATTAGGACTATAGTTCGAGAAATGTAGCAAAATAATTTGTGGAGAGATTTATGCAGAAAGTTATGCAATACGAAACTTCCTATCAACGAACACAAGAAAAAGGAAAGCGTCCGTAGCATCTTTTTTATATTTATTCATAAAAAATATAAGGATCAGATGTTTTTAAAATATACTAAAAAACATTTAAAATTATAGCTTATGTAATTGAGTGATATTTAACTACATAATTTAATTTTAACTTATGCAAAAAATTTTAATATTAAGTAACTTTACATTTATTTACGCAAATTATTAAAATATCCTTTTATTAACAAATATAGTTACAATTTCCTTAAAATCTTTATTTTTATATAAAAAATTATTTTATCTCGAATTTTATACCTTCTAATATTAAAGTAGATAATAAGCTCTCAAAAGTCACAAATGATCTTGATGTTAACAGATAAATTTCTTGATTATAAATTGTATGTGCAAAGAGAGATAAAATATTACCAATCGCAATGCTACCAAAAAAAAACTCCAAATTCTATTCTAAAATTATAAATTGCACGTTTACTGACAATTTATTTCTTGATTAAAGAAAAGAATTTTTTAGTTTTAGTGTCATCTGGTGTATCTAGTTCTCTTTCTCTTTCGCATTTTTAACACTGCCAAAAGTAATTGTAAGTCCTTTTTCATCACAGGATTCATGAAATGTTTTAGTCGGAGTATGCCGCGACAATTCAGTTAATTTGATCAAGTCTATCTTGTTTCTTTGATTTGATTGAATTACGAGATAAGGAACCTTTTTTAGAATTAATAACCTTAGAATCTAAACTTGATTTTGAATGAATTACTGTTACGTCATTGTTACTAAATGAATAATATTCAAGAATTTGAATATAGAAATCATGGTCAAAACAATTCTTGAATGGTTTGATTTTCTGAAAGAAATCTTTGGGACTAATTGTTTCAAAATTTATAAGCGGCAAAAATGGTCGAATCATTGTTCTAAATGTTGAGATTTCGTCGAGAGTCCATTTTGTAGTATCCAACGGTAATTCATCATCAGATTGCGCAATAATCCATTCCATTAATTTATCCCAAATTAAAATAGAATTCTCAGAATACTTTTTTTTGTTTTTCTCAAGTAGATCAATAAGAATTTCTTGTTTCATTGTTGTGAAATCATCAGCTTTGAAGATTATGAAGGCATCATTTCGAGTAACTATCTTACAGAATCGGTTTAATTTATTCAATTGAGTAATTTGAGATACAACATTTTGTATGAGAATAAAATTCTTCTTTAATGATTCTTTATTGTCCAGAAGATAATTTTCAATAGAATCACACAGATTGTTAAGGCACAGTTCATCAGCCGCAATTAAAGTCGCAACATTTGTTTTAACATCATTGTTGGTGAAATCAATACTACTACTATAGATATATCTAATAAAATTGAATAAATAAATTCATTTATTTAAATAATTGTTCAAGGAGACAGTTTAGAATAAGATAAATATTCATATTCTTACTTTAAAATAATATCGAATACTTTAACAGAGATGTTCGGTTTTATTAATTTAATAACGTTATTTTCTGTTCTTTGCCAATTGTTTGATAAAGCGGTACGAAAATAAAGTGAACGAATCTTTAAAATTAAAGAGTGTGCTTTAAAAACTTTTGTATCAGGCTCTTCTCCAACTAAAATTTCCGTATCAGAAAATTCACCAGAATAGAGAATATCGTTGTATTCATTATACAATGTATTTAATAGATTGTTATTGTTAGTGGACATTTATGAAATTTCAAGAGTTTTGATGTGGGATGCAAGGATGAATGATATTTAAATAATTTTAAACGGAAACATTATATCATGATGCAGATCTTTGGGCGAAGTTTATTCAATACCATCATTACAAAATATGATTATGCAAGCCAATTTCGAGTCTAGTCATTGCAAGTTAAAACCAATAACAACCTTTAATCAATTTATCTTCAGATGCACTCAGTTAAACTAATCTCTGAATCTAATTATTACAAGATAATTCCACTCACGAGATGATAATTTCCGTTCAAAAAATTCTGTCAATTTTAGTTAGTCTTTGTAGATCAATTTTGGCCTGGGTTTTTATATTTCTATTTTATTTATGAATTTCAAAAACTAATAAGTAATAGTTACGAGGTCACGTAGTGCCGAGTAATTGTTTTATCGGTTTACACAAAATAGATTAATTTAAAAACTTTATTAGACGATTTTTTTAACTTTAATAAACCATTTTTCATAAGAACAAATGATATATCTTTTTTCTTTTACGCATCTTGTTTTTCCCAAAAAAGTTTTTTTTTCTTTTGATAAATGACACAAAATATTTCATCCAAAGGTAATCAATTACCCTCTATTAGCACTTGCGAAAGGTATGAATTCCTCAAAACACAATTCTCTGCGTCACATGTACCTGATGAAGATCATACATACTATCATGAAAAAAAGAAAAGATCAAAAATACAAGAAAGTGACGATATTTTAAGAAATATTATAAAAATTGCACTTCCAATAAATAAATTAATTAAACTATATTAAATAATGTTATTTAATAGTAATTTACAATTTGACATAATAACAAAATAAATGATTAGTAACTAATTATACTAGCAAAAATCATCAAATAGTAAATGACCGATAAAATAATTTATTAAAAAAAAAAATATATGATTCAATATTAATATTAACTTCTTTTGAATAAATGTTACAATATACAAATTCCTAATAATCTATTGTGATTATATTTAATATCAACATTATTGTAAGTAATTTCTTATTATCTTAATTTAAGACAATAAATAGTAATTTCAAAATCTTTATTCAAACAATTGTAATTTTTGTAATCATTATAAATTTCTCATAGTGTAACTAATTTTTCATATATTTATTACTTACTATTCAAGGTATTACTATAATAATAACATCTTTATCATTAAATATAAGGATCAGATTTGAATACAAAATACTAATACAACTTTTTTATTGAGTTACTGATTGTATCATTAATGCTGATTATTTTTAACTTTATCATGTTATATTTTGAAATATTTTTTATTAAAGCAAAAAGAAAATAATGTTAAATTTAATCAAAAAAAGAATTTTAAATATTACAAAAATAAAGCAAAAAAGGTAAAGCTGTATTTTAATGAAATTAGTAATATATAAGAGTGATTAACAATAAATAATATTTAGATTTTAATAATTTTTTATAGTTTAAATCCTACTAAGTTTAGAAAACAAATTTAATTTTAACTTCAGGATGAAAGTTTAAATGTTATACAAAAGGTAAATAAAATTTTTCATGCATTTTTTTACTCAATATATAAAACTTAAAATTATTTAGCATTAATAATAAAAGATTAAACTTGTCTCCTATAATTAAATCTCAAATATTGTAATATTGCAATAAATGATCTCCTTTGTTACAAAAAAACTATAATATTATAACATACAATATTGTAATTTTGTAATATAATATTGCAATATTAGCAAAAACTTATTTTATAATTTAAACAAATACATTTTAAGAAACACAATGAATTTTTTTATTTATTATATATTTTTTAATTATTTAAGAACAAATATAATTTTTTGATAAAAATTTTAGCAAAATTTAATAAAATCCATTTTAATAAATAATATTTGTTTACCTATTCATTATCAGAATCTAAATATTACAAAATAAATTGAGGATCTAATTCTATTTCATCTGATAATACATCTCTATTGTTATCTATATCATATAAATTTTCTAATTCATTCTGTTCTTTTTCTTCAATAATAATTAAATCAAATAAATTTGCTATATTAATTATTATATTTGAATTATCTACTAATTGAAAATTTCTTTTCCTGCTTTTAAATTTTTTAATTTATTCTATTAAAATCTATTTCTTGATTAGTATTTTATCTTCTAAATCTCTGAAGTTATTTTAAATGATTTCTTGCAATTAAAGTTCTGAATGAGTTAAGTTATATTGAGTCAAATTTATTTTAACTTAATTTGATTCGAGTTATATAAATTTTTAAAAAAAAATTAATAATTAAAAAAATGAAAAATAAAATATTAAAATAAAAAAATATTTCAATTAAAAAATTAAATGTAATAAAAAAAAAAAACAGAAGAATTAATAATAAAAATAAAAAATAAAAATAAAAAAAATAAAAAAAAAATAAATGGAAAGGAAGAAGAAGGAATTAAAATAAAAATAAAAAATAAAAATAAAAATAAAAAAATGAAGAAAAAAAAGAAAATTTGTAGCTGATTATCTTTAAAAAATGTAGAATAAAGTTTATATGTAGTTTGATAGTGTTTATTGCTAAAATAGTAGTTATTAAAAATAAAATATTTTCAAATATTACTGAACTTTAGAGCAACTAAACATTTTGCAATTTTTTACTACTAATATTATTTTGATTTTTCAGAAGAACTCATTTTTTTGCTTTGATAAAAAAAATTATGAAATAGTATAAAATAGTTAGTTTTATTATTCAAGACTGATGTTTTATCATTCGAGAATGATATTTTATCATTCAAAAATAATAGTTTTATTGTTCAAGAATGATAGTTTTATCATTAAAGAATAATATTTTTATCATTCAAGAATAATGATTTTATCATTCTTAAATAAGTTCAAAAATGGTATTTTATCATTTTGAAATATTTAAATGCAGATTTAAAAGAATTATTTTATTTAAAATTTACAAAAAATTCAAATTTATAAAAAAAGAGAAATTAATATAACTAGAAGAGAAAGGAATGAGATCATCATGATTGTTTTAAAAAAATCTATTAAGAATTATATTAAAAACTAAAAACCAAAAAATTTAATTTAAAAATTCAAGTTGATTGTTTTAACTAACTAAATAATTCAGATGTTATTGGCTTGGTATCTGTAAACTTAAATGATAATCTTTTAATTCAATCTATCAAATTAAATACAAGATAATATCACAATTACGCCTATATGAAGACATAATAAAAAGCAATAGTGAATGAATTTAATGATTCCTTTATTAAACTTTTAGTTTATCTTAAAATTCTATCTCAAGTTACTTTTCAACTCAAGGAAAAATACAAGATATTTATATAAAATAAAATAATATAAAATTAACTATAACAAATA